GCCAGTTTATTCATAAAATTTGCTAATTTCGTTCATTCACTCTACAAATATGCATTCAGGTTTTATTTGGTGCTCTGTTGACATTGGTAACAGGGTGGAGAACAAAACACAAGCCTTCAGGGAGTTTACGATATAGTGGAGAAAAACAGATGTGAAACAATCCATTATAACAAAGTATGGTGAAGATAATGATAAGAGAATCCACAGGGCAGAAAGTAAAGGATTGGGAGAAAAGACCACTGGCAATGTGGTAGACCAGAAATTCATACATACTTTCTTTTCCCCCAAGATAATTGTTATATAAAACCCTAATGTTTTTTCTATAATACATGGCTTAGCAGGAGGCAAATTAAGGGAATTCCTTAGAGATAAAAAATGATAAGGTGAGAATCTATATAGCTAAGAAAATTCTGGAGCCGAGTTAGTATTTGTCTGAGGGTCTCAGTCAATACTTGTTTTTCTAGACTGTGGATTTTAATAAGCAGCGAGTGCATGCAGGACAAGAGACAAAACATGGGACCCTAGTGTTCTTATATAAGATACTGATTAACTTTAAGTTTATTGAGATGAATATGTGAGTTGTGATTTCTAAAGTCTCTACTTACAGATTGAAACAACGTTTAACTTCAAAATGGGTAGAGTGAGAAAAAATGAGAAGAGGGAAAATTAAATAAAAGAAGGTAAGAAAGAAAGGTAGAAAACAAAATGAACAAATAGCAAAAATTAAGATGGTATAAATGAATCCAATTTAACAATAATCACAATCTATATAAATGATTTTTCCTCTGCAATTGAAAATCAAAGATTTTTAGATTAAATTTTTAAAATTCAATTTTAAACTATTTATAAGAGAAACCCCTAAAACCATAAGGACAGAGGAAGACTCCAACTAACATGATGGGTGAAGACCTACTAGGTCAATACTCTGCAAAAGAAGCAGGAGTGGCTATATTGAATATCAGGGAAACCTAGACTTCAAGACAAAAAGCATTAATACAAATGAAGAGGATGACTACATATTAATAAAGATGTCCAGTTTACCAGGAAGATGTAATTCTAAATTCGTGTGCTCCTAATTGTGTAACTTTGAAATATGTAAAAATGAAATTGTCAGAACTGTAAGAAAAATCGTCACATCCAAAATCACAGAGGGGCATTTTCACACCTCTCTCCAAATTGATAGATCAAATAGATAATAAATCAGTGAGGAACCTAAAAGATTTGAAGAACACAGTTAACAAGCTTGATCTAATGGACATATGCAATATACTGAAAACACACTCTTTTTTAACATATAGAACATTTATAAAAATGGAATAGCCCATAAAGAAAACCTCAACAAAATTCAGAGAATCTATACATGCAGCCTACATTCTCTAACAGTTAAATTAGAAATCAATAATGAAAAAAATAACTAAGGTGCCCCCATACTTTTGAAAACTATTGGGTAAAAGCACATTTTAACACACGAATCAAAGAAAAAAAATCAAACTAAGAATTAGTAAGTTGTAGAACTGAATGATCATAAAAATAACTCATCTGAACTAGAGAAATATAGATAGTAAAACAGTATCAAGGGGAGACTATAGCCTTACTTCTCATGCTAGTGACAAAGAAGTCTGCAAAGTAACAGACTGAGCACTGAACTCAGAAAGTTAGAGAGAAAAGTGAATAAACTCAAAGAAAGAAGAAGGAAGGAAGGACTAGAAATAAGAGTAGAAATCAATGATAGAAAAACTACTATACAATAGAAAGTATTTAAAAAAAACCCAAAATTGTTTTCTTTTTCTGTTCAAAAGACTAATACAACTGACAAGCTGCTAGCAAGATGAAAAAAGACACCAATAACCAATATCAGGAATGAAAAAGAGAAGCATTTCTATAGAGTCTGGAGACATTTTTTAAAGAAGATAAAAAAAGGATATTATTGACCACCTTGTGACAATTATTTTGAATATTTAGACAAAGCTCGTAAATTTCTAGAAATATGTAACTCCCAAAACTAATTCAAGAAGAAATACAAAAAAATGAATCACCCAATAATCAGGAAAGATAGGGAATCATTAGTTAAAATTTTTACCCTAAAGAAAACATTAGGCTTAGATGGTTTCATATGTTCTACAAAATAACCAAGAAATGAATCATTCTAATTTTATATAAACTAATCCAGAGTGTAGGAAAATAAAGGAACACTTGCCATTTTATGAGATATCTTTAATACTAAAAATAATTATCTACAAACATAAAATGCAAATTTTTTAAAAATGTGTAATTTACAGTTAGAAAAAAAAATTGAAACCATGAAGGAAAGAAAACTAACAAAAGGTATTCAAAACTGTACTACAAAACTTTAGAGACATAGAAGACCTAAACAGAAAAATACAATTTTCATGAGTAAGAACACAGTATTCTAACTAAAGATGTTAATTTTCCCGAAGTTGATAAATAGATTAACACAATTCCCATCAAAATTCAAAAATAGCCCTCGCTGATGTGGCTCAATGGATTGAGTGCCAGCCTGTGGACCAAAGGGATGCTGGCTCAATTCCCTGTCAGGGTACATGCCTGGGTTGTGGGGCAGGTACCCAGTAAGGGGGATGTGAGAGGCAACCACACATTGATGTTTCCCTTTCTCCTTCCTTTCCCCTTTCTCTAAAAATAAATAAATAAAACCTTTTTTAAAATTCAAAAAACACTTTTGTAATATTTTAAAATTATTCTAAACATTATCTGGAAGAGCGAATGGTCAAACATAGTATGGCACTCCTGAATGAGAAGGAAGAGAGGAAATGTGCTCTACTGGAAAACAAAGGTTAGAAAGCAACAGTAATTAAAATACTGTGGTATTGCCAGAGGAAAAGACTACTAGACTGGTGGAACAGAATTAGAAAGTCCCAAAATATACCCACACATACAACAAAAGTTGATATATTGCAAAAATTGATACTGCAGATCAGTGAAAAAAAAAAGATGTACTAAGTAAACTTTGCTGGGACAAATGAAAAATGAAATAAAGCCTACCATACACAAAAATCAATTCCGATTTTAAATGGATGAAGAACTTAAAATGAAAAACTGAACTTTAAAAATTTCAGTACATCAGAGAATATTTTTTATGATATTAGAGTAAGGATAAGTTTCTTAAAGAAGATGTAAAAAGTGAAAATCATCAAGGAAAAGATTCATAAGTTCAACCACATTAAAAGTAAGAACATCTACTCACCAAAACACATCCATTCACCAGAGTAAAAGGAGCCGCAAACTGGAAAGTGATGTATACTAACTGAATACTAACAAAAGATTAGTATCTAAAATATATCAAGAACTCCTACAGATCAATAAGAAAAGATATGCAATCAATTAAAAATGGGCAAAGGCACAAACAGTTCACAAAAGAGAAAACATAAATGACAAAAAATACATATGTTAAAACGTACCCAATCTCATTAATAATTTTAAAAATTAAAATTAAAACCATAATAAGATGATATTTCATACCCACCAGATTAGCAAAAGTTAGCTTGACAACACCAAGCACTAGAAAGGATGTGAAGCAAGAGAAAGACTCATATATGACAATGAAAGTATAAATTGCAAAGGAAAACATTTTAGAATTGCATGATAAAATTACACACATGCATACTATATAACTCAGCAATTCCAGTCCTCTTTTTAGACCATAGAGAATGCTGGCAGCAGCATATAATAACAGAAAACTAGAAACAATGTAAATGCCCATTGTCGGGGAAATGGGTAAATAAATACAAGGAGATAATGTACAGCAATAAAAAATGAAAATACTACAGTTCTACACAATAACATACATAAATTTTACATATGGTTGAGCAGAAAAGCAAGTCACAGAAATACATCTGCAGTACATGGTTCAGAAGCAGACAATACTGAACAATTGTGTATCAATTCATGTATAAGTAGTTAATATAGAAGCACAACAGGATGGTGACCTCTGGAAGGAAGGAAGTATCTATAAGTAGTAAGAAGGGGGTTTGGGGTGGACACTGGCTCATAAAATAGGCTTCAAAGGCACTGGTAGTATCTTCCTTGCATTGAATTATGCATATATGTGTAGTTTTCATATTGTCTCCCTTTATAATATACATTTATGTTCTCTACAATCTTATGTATGTATAGTATATTTCACAATAAATCTGTAAGTAAGTAAGTAAGTAAGTAAAACAAGGCCAGAGACTAAAGAACTACCATTGAAGTCCATAACATGGGCCCAGTAGGTTCTGAAGGATGACTAAGAGGCAGCAACAATTCCTTGAGGCTCTGCTCCATGCCTCAAACTCGAAAAAAGGCTTCACTGCAGTGAGAGAACAGCTTTCAAGTAGGGCAGAGACTCCTGATGGTGCCCTTGGAGGCCGCCAGGGAATTTCATAGGAAATAAAGGAATGATCTGAGGGGGAAAACTTGAGTAAAAGAGTATTGATCTTCTTCTGTGGCCAGAAAGGTACATAATTTATACTCTTGCAGATACAAAGAAGATACTGTCTTTTTATAAATATGAAGACACTGGTATCAGTTACTTAAACATATAAAGGTTTAATTTCCCTCACTTAGCAGGAGGTCCAGAAGGAGGAAGTGCACAGTTTGTTCCTTGGATTAGCAATATTTTCCAGATCCAGGCTTCTCTGCCTTTCCACTCTGCCATCTTTAGTGTGTGGGCTTTTTTTCTCTCATGTACAATAGCTTCAAACTTCTCATCTACCTTTAATGTATCATTAGGGAATTTGCCAGGCTCTTTTGTCTGGTAAAGGCTTTCCAAGAGCTTTCCCATGGCCTTTCACTCACATCTTAGTGGTCAAAATGCTCTTTATTGCTGCAAGAGAGGCTGGATATGTATTTTGCCATTGTGGCCTATATAGTAGGAGCAGGCAGGAAGGAAGCAGAGGCGAGTGGCAGAGGTTTCTGAGCAGCTATTCAGCAGTTTCTGACAAAATCCTTCACTAAGAGAAATCTTCCCCTTTTTTCCCCAGGAGCCAGTCTACTTGATGACTTGTATAAATATTTCTCATTCCATCACACCCGTGGAGACACAATGACTGTCATGGATCCAAAGGAGATGAGTGTTGCTGCCGCTGTTTGGGCTGTTGTCTCTTACGTCGTTGCAGACCTGGAAGAAATGCTGCCCAGATCCTAGCAAGAGCAAGAAAGAAGGCACTTTTGCCCTTTCTAGCCAGGAATCTGGGGCTTCAGCTTCAGGAAATCCCTATTCACCTAACAATTGTATCTGATTCATTTTCAAAACATACACTTTTTCATATTATTATCCTCTTTTCTGATATATTCCACATTATCTGTTTCTAAAATAAGTAATTACTTCATTTCTACCTGCACATAAAATCAAGTAGAAGTCACAGTGGGGGTATTTCTTCATACCACCTGTAAAAAATATCATTTCTACTTTGAAAGTGGAATACTAGATAGATCTTTTTATGGGTAGTTATGAATATTAAATCAAATACAATGATACTAATTTTTTGTTTTATGTCATTTTTTGAAAGATAAAAGAGACATAAAATTGTAGTATAGTCTCAATTGAATGTATGGAGGCATTTGATTTTCTAATTTGTATATTTTTATTAAGATATGGGTTTTTTAATTAAGAAGAAAAAAGATGTCACCGTTTAGGGAAAAACTCAAGTATGTATAATCCCACTGCCTTATTACAGATGAGTACTAAGGTCTATCACCAGGTAAATGATCATACTATCTTACATTTGTGTTTTATAAACTTCACACTATTTTATGAAATTAGGGCTTGTTCACGTTTTGCTGTAAAAGTATTGAAACTCAGAGAGGCTAAATAATATTTACAGGGTCTTAGAGAGCAAAAATATTGATTCAAATCCATCCTGGGAACACTCTCTACTAGTCTTCCACACACAATGCCTAGTATTCAATAAAAAATTACAAGACACATCAAAAAAAAGCAAATAAAAGCAAATAATTTTTTTTTTGTTCAATACATTTGTCTCCACCTTCCTGCTACCACTTTCCCCTGTCCCCCTCTCCTATCTCCCTCCCTCAATCCTTTCCCACTTTGGCTTTATCCATGGGTCCTTTATACATGTTCCCTGACTCGACCCTTCCCTTCCCTTGCCCTGACCCCCCTCCTTCCCTCTTGACTTTGTTGGTTTCTTTTTTCTTTCAATGTTGCTGGTTATATTTTCCTTGTTTGTTGGTATTTTTGGTTAGGTTCCACTTATAGGTGAGATCATATGGTATTTATCTTTCGCCCGCTGGCTTATTTCACTTAGCATAATGCTCTCCAGTTCCATCCATGCTGTTGCGAAGGGTAGTAGCTCTTTCTTTTTTTCTGCTGTGTAGTATTCCATTGTGTAAATGTACCATAGTTTTTTGATCCACTCATTTACTGATGGGCACTTAGGTTGCTTCCAACACTTGGCTATTGTAAATTGTGCTGCTATGAATATTGGGGTGCATACGTTCTTTTGAATTGGTGTTTGGGGATTCTTAGGGTATAATCCCAGCAGTGGAATTGCTGGGTCAAAAGGCAGTTCCATTTTTTTAGCATTTTGAGGAAATTCCAAACTATTTTCCACAGTGGCTGCACCAGTCTGCATTCCCACCAACAGTGTACTAGGGTTCCCCTTTCTCCACAGCCTCACCAGCACCCATCGTTTGTTGATCTGTTTATGATGGCCACTCTGACCGGTGTGAAGTGGTATCTCATTGTGGTTTTAAATTGCATTTCTCTGATGGCTAGTGATGCTGAGCATCCTTTCCTATGCCTCTGGGCCCTCTGTATGTCCTTGGAGAAGTGTCTGTCCAGGTCCAAAACTAGTTTCTTCCATTTCCTTCAAGATCAACAGAGAGGGATTCTTCCTCAATAGGAGCACAGCCACACTCAGGACCTCTACCTCCCTTGTCTTGGAACTATTGTGCTTTCTACTTATCAGCCCTGAATGACAGGCATTCCTAGATCATCCCTACAGATCATGAAGCCTAAAACGAGGTCCATTTTGTATTCTCCACTGATCCCTCCACAGTTTTAAACTTTAGAAAAACTTGAAAGAGAAAAATTGTCACAAAATTGTAATCTACTCTCAAATTCCCACCAGCTGGAAAAAGTCATTTTCTCTGCCACCAACTGCATCCTGAATCACTGTGCCCACCTATTCCTTCTAGGAAACTTAATCCTTTCTCCACCTCATCCTCCTTCTTCTGTATAGGGTTTGGGATTGTACCCCCACTGTCTATACACCTAGAGGTGGTTCTAAGGAAATGCATCCTATTCCATATCTTTGATTTTCCCATAACATTTTCTATTTCTCTGGAAAAAATACTTATAGAGGGACAAATGATAGCAGAAATGGACCCTTTCTTAACTGGGACATTTACTGCCACCTTACTGGAGGAGTATAAAGGGGCTGTGTCGAGGCACATTGTGAATATGAGCAGGTGGGAGAGTGAATTGGTGAGTATGGGTATCAGTAGCATTAACAGTAGGGGAGAAATACATGGCAGTTGGGAAAATAGGAGGGTAGAAGAAGAAATGCAAAAAAAAAAAGGTCTATATAGTGTTTTCTCATGACAATTCCACCTGCACATCATAAATGCTACCAGCCAACTGTGGAGCCTGGCACATGCTATAGCTATAGGTGCTTTTAAGGCACAATTCTCTTATTTTCCACAAATCGTTGTGAAAGAAACTGTCTGCTAAGAAATGATGTATCATTTGAGTGGTGGCCTATTTCCTCTGCTTGCAGTAGCTTCCCAATTTGACTTTAGGGTCAAGTTGCTTTTCTGATTCATTTGTCTGAGTAGACTTAACTGCAAATTGAGAAGAGAAACCCATTTAAATATTGTATAATGTGAAAAGGGTGAATTCTGTAACAGAAGTAGGGGATGAGAGGGAAAGGAGGTTGATTGCTGATTTGACCTTCACATTGTTAAGATGTGGTTTTGAGGGGTGTAGTGTGTTTGAATGATTTGGCGTTTAAGTTGTCCGAGTGTTCCGCCTTCCTCACAGTAATTACACAAATGACACCCAGAGTGTTTTGACAGTCCTCACACATCTATACCACAGGCACTTGGTTGCCACGCAGTCCTATTTGCTCAGTATGCTCCCTTCATAATAATTTGCGGTGCTTCCCATTTACCTTGAGTAAATATCAGCCAAATCTTGATATCTATATCTGTCTCATGAAATATACATCCTCTCTAACTGTGCCCAAATGATTAATTTACTGCTATGTGATGATTAGCATAAAAATCTCATCACAATGAGATAGAAATGTTACCACTAATTGCCATTTGAAGTGAAGAAATTTTTTCGCATAGAAATTAATGATGCAAGCTTACTTCTCAACTCTGTTAAACCGGAAAACCCAAAACTGTTTCTGAAACAGAAAAAAATTACCTTTGAAGTTTTTTTTTTCCTCTCCTTTAGATGATTCACAGCTCAGCAAAGGAGTGGTGGAGGGCAATGGTTAATGGACCTTTGTACACCAAACGAGACGCATGAACTCCGCTCTCGTCTGATCAGGCCTTTCTATCAATTACTCAACTTCAGGCAAAGATCTTTTCCCTGGACATGAGGGCCTCCCTGTGGCTCTGAAACTTGACCTAAACACTCTCACATTTGCAGCATATCCTAACAGTGCTCATGTCCTTAATATCATTGGTGGCCATTCCAGATCTGCTCAAGCAGCCTCACAACTAAAGGTGAGCTTGAAAGTACTTTAGAAAGTTTTGTTCTATTTTCCAGGTTTCAAGAGCATTTAGCTGTGTCTAGATCCTGATGATAAAGTCACACCCTAGTCCAATCAGTTCTCTTAATTCCTTATAAGTTCCAACTAGTCTGTTCAGAGATGGTAACAGAACATGAATTATGCCTAAGCTCTGCCTTGTCATCCAAACCATCGCCATTATTGCTAATAATCATCCTGAGCCAATTAAGCTGCTAAGAACTTCATACTATGCATGTGCCCATATAATGCTCACCCAATGCAATGAGGTAAGTCCTATTTTAATTCCCATTTTAAGAATGAGAAAACCTGCATATACAGCTCCTAAATAACTTTTGCAAGTTCACAAAATTGATAAAATGTGGCAGAAATTTAGAAAATTCAAACTCGAGTATCCCCTGAGACAAACATAAACTCTCTGGCTAGTCACTCTTCTAGCCTTCACTGTCTTGGTAGATCCAATCTAACTGGTGCATTTGCATTTTGAGAAATAGAAAGTAGGTTTTGAATACTGCCATGCTTTGGCTTAAGAAAGAGGGCCCTTGTGCTCACAGAGGTCCCCACATATCACAAACACACACCAAAAATAACTTTATTAAGGGATCTATGGACTCTTCTGTCACCAGGAACCTAGCACTCAGGACCTGCACAGCATGGCTCAGGACTCAAAGCCCCCACTTTCAGGCTAATGCCATTTTGGCTCCAAAGAAACACTACTCCTCAGGTCCTGCCTTTGGGAGAAGACTGTGCCTGGAGGTTGTGAATGTAGACACTGCCCCTGAGCGCGAAGATTTGAGGAATGGAAGTACTGAAGAAGAAAAGACAAATTCATTAACTTGTCAAATCTTTTCTCTCAGAGAGCATGAATGTAATAGACGCTGCATAATGAGGTATTGTTTCCCAGAAGTATTGAACATCCATTTTTTTTTTATTCTCATCAAGTTCCAGTGTGTGGTTCTTTCTGAAGGTACTCATAAATAGGCATGCTACTCACAGCAGTTGTACGTGGTGGCATACTGCATTATTTAATACTTGTGTTATTAAATAATTTGTATTCCTCATAGATTTGAGTATCTGTTGGTTTAGGCATAGCTGTTTTGAAATCTAATATCCATAGCTTAAACTGGCAACTAGATGGACGTTTCATGCTAAATTGTAAATAGCTTTGTTTTTGTAAAATTAACAATATTATATGTAACAAATATTTTTAAATTTAAATAGAAAATATAACTTTATTTAAATATTTCCTTTCAAAAATTGGCTGTTTATTAATTCCAGTATATATTCTCATTAAATCAATAGTTAATTGCTAATTATTTTTAATTGTATTTTAAAGTACACATAACAATATCTATTATCTTAACCACTTTTAAGTGTACAGTTCAATGGCGTTAAGTACATACCCATTTTTCTGCAACCGTCACCACTATTCATCTCCAGAATTCTTTTCATTTTGCAAAACTGACACTCTAATTAAATAACAAACCCAATTAAACAATAACATTCCATTACCCAGCCCCCAGCAACCACCCTTTTACTATCTGTCTCTGAATCCAACTACTGTAGGTACTTACATAAGTGGAATCATATAGTATTTGTCCTGTGGTTGACATTTCACTTAATATAATGTCCTCAAAGTTCATCCATGTTGTATGATGTGTCAGAATTTCCTCCCTTTCTAAGGCTGAATAATATTTCATTGTATGTTTATACTATGTTCTGTTTCTCCACTCATCCCTCAATGTTGATAGACATTGGATTTCTTGCCTATTATGAATAATGCTGCTATGAACGTGAGAATATAAATATCTCTTCCAGATACTGCTTATACCCAGAAGTGGAATTTCTAGATCATATGGTAATTCTATTTTTAATTTTTTGAGAAACTGTCTTGCTGCACCAAGCAACTTGACCCTAAAGTCAAATTGGGCAGCTATTATAAGCAGAGGAAATAGGCCACAGTGGCTGCACCATTTTACATTCCCTCCAACAGGGCACAAGGGTTTCAATTTCTCCACATTCTTAAAAACATTTGTAATTTTATGTTTTTTTTAATAGTAGTCATCTTAAAGGGTGTGAGATAGTATCTTATTGTGGTTTTGATTGGCATTTTCCTGGTGATTAGTGATGCTAAGCGTCTTTTCACATGCTTATTGGTCATTTGTATTTATATTCTTCAGAGAATGTCTATTCAAGTCT